ATATATGGGGCATTCATTTTGCTTAGCTCACATAGTCCATGCATCATATATTTGATAACAGTTTCATACTCTGAGAGACTTTTCTGATATACCCAATCCGGATTCAGTACAGGAACTTAGAAACTCATTAATAAATAATGAGTTAAATTATAACATAAATATACTTAATGATTTTGTGGAGCAGAATACAGCCTGTTTAAGTGAGGACCAACAAGCTATCTTTAATGAAATAGTCCAAGCAGTCAATCATAATAATCTGGCTTGCTTTTTTATAGATAGATTCACAAGGACTGGTAAAACATTTCTTTACAACAATATTTTAGCAAAAGTTCAATCAAATTGAAATATTGCATTAGCAGTTGCTTCTAGAATTGCTGCCCAGTTACTTAATAGAAGTTAGAAGTGCACTCTTGGTTTAAAATCCCTATCGACCCAGACGAAAATTTTACTTGCAGTATATCTGTATGTTCTGATCTTGCAAATTTTTTAAGACAAGCAATACTTATCATTTGGGATGAAGCTTCAAAGATACATCGCCACATATTTGAAACCATTGATTGTACCTTAAGAGATATTATGAGTTCCATTGATCAATGCTTTGACAGCTTACCATTTGGCAGCAAAGTATTTGTATTTGGTGGCGATTTTTGCCAAATTCTTCCAGTTGTTTCTAAAGCCGTGAAGATATCATTAATGCCAGTCTTTGTTGTTCATATTTATGGCGGCATATTAAAGTAAGAAGATTAACAATTAACATGCACTTACATACTGCAACAAGTCTTTTAGTTGCTTCAAAAGCTGTTTTACAAAAAGAGTTTGCAAACTGGCTACTAGCGATTGGTGAAGAAAGAATATCTGAAATCATGCAAAATAGCGGTATATAAACTTACCACAAAGCATTGCTATGCATAATAACTCTTATTAGAAGTTAATTGATTTTGCTTACCTACTTTGCAGATGAATACTTTTGACTTAACTTATATTTTAGAATGAAACATTCTTGCACCATGTAATTCCGAAGTTGATATGCTTAATGTGAAATTTTTTTACAATTTCCAGAGAAAGCAAAAACATACTTTAGTGCAGATACTTTAGATCAAAGCTCTACTACATACAATCTAGCTCACAAAGATATATATTTGACTAAATTTTTTTAACTCTTTAATACTTAGTGGATTGCCACCCCAATGCATTATACTTGAAAGTAGGATCTCCAATTATTTTACTTCGGAATATTGATGCCAATAAAGGTCTTTGTAATGGCACACAGCTTATCTGCAAAACGTTACAAAATAATGTTATTGAAGCAGAACACATTAGCAAACCATTTAAAAGAAAAAGAGTTTTTTTACTGTGAATCGAATTATCCCCAACAAATTCTTCATTTCCCTTTGCTTTAAACGATGACAGTTCCCATGTCAACTTGCCTTTGCTATGTCTATTCACAAATGCCAAGAGCAAATTATAAATTGTGTTGAACTATATCTTTCCAAGTCAGTTTTTTCATATGGTCAATTATATGTTGCATATTTGCATGTACTATGTATCAGAATTTACAGATTTTTCTTGGACCAGCTAATCCAGAGTTACTAAATTGCACTAAGAATATGTATACTCTGAGATTTTTCAAAGATGTGGTGCTATGGTGATTGAATGACTTGATAATTCAAAATATCAAAAAACTTGGTTATTTTCCAGTATTGTAGCATACAAAGTTAGTGGAGCAATTATATAAAGCTAGTGTTTCTATGAACTGAACTGAACTGAACTTTTGGCCAAGTTCAAGTTCAGTTCAAAATTGAACTGAACTTGAA